AAGATGTGATGTGAAACAGTGATGTGAAACAGTGCACTGCCCGTTGTTTTCAAGGTGTGTGGCTATAAAAGTAGAATATCTTAATTTCCTTAAAAACTTGAACCAGTTACACAACAGCTGAAAAAAAAAAATCTAATTTTAATAAAAGTCAAGTATAGACTGATCTACACTGCACTGTCCCCAGGACATTTGCAAAGTTCTGGAATTCCTTCAGCTGCACAAACAGAAATTTATAAATATTTATTGAAAAGTAGTTTATTGAAAATGTCACCTGTGCAACTGGAAATGAACATGAAAGAGAAACTGAGGTGGCAGGGAACAGCTTGTTACAGACAAGTTGTCCACTTGGTTTTGTGTTTCTGGTTTATGAGTGGCTGTTTTAATTTTGGTCTCTGCCAGCTGCTTCTGCACACACAGTTCAGAAGGAACATCCAAGAAAAAATGGATTCTTTAGGAGGCAGATTGTGGCAACCATCACTTGATGGAATGGCTGCTGGAGGATTCAACATTACTGGAAAAAATGTGTTTTGAGGGAAATCAGCTGCCACTGCTGCATGACAATTGAATATGCTGTTAAGACATCATGCACAATACTAAAAGGAAGGGTGCAAAATATAAACACCTGCAATTCTAAATGCTACTGTAGAGATACTTCTCACCCATTTCCAGTGGTGAGACTAAAATGCAGTCATAAACAAGTTCATAGGTTTTCCAAGTTTTGAGAGCTACTCAATTTTATATAATTTTTTTGTGGTCTATAATTTGTTCTTTAGTTTTAAGAATCTCACTTTTGGGCAGTGTTTGAGGAATTCAGGATCTCTATTTATCCTGATTAGTCTAGATACAGGACTATTTAATCAGCACCCAGAACTTACCTCACACTAGGTTTATAACAGCATAAATCTCCATCTTTAAATTTCTTTTAAAAGATAAAATCTTGCTCAAGTTTGACTTCAGGAAAAACTTCTCCTTGTGCCCATTGCATGCGTGTGAATATGAGAAAGGCAAGGCTTTTCTTAAAGCATGAAAAAATAGAAAGTGGGGAAGTGTTCCAATAAGGATGAAACCTTTTTAAGCCCCATTGCTTAAAAGAAGGGGTGTTGTGGGGGGGATCTTGGAGAATTCTGACTGGAGCAGTGTCACTTTGAGGGAGGAATAAATTCAGCTAGTCAGGATTTGTGTTGCCTAAATATTACATGTAAGATTCATAAACATAGTTTATAAAATACTAAACTGTAACATAAAATATCTAAGTATTGAATGAAAAAATATTTTCCCCTCATATTTCAAATTGGGGCATTTTAATTGCAGGTACTTATCCCTCACTTTACACATTGCTGGCTGCAGGGTTTGAGGTTAATACAGTCAACCTACTTCTGAGTTTTGTAGTGTGTAACAATCTGCACTGGAAAAGCAGCATTCTCTTCTGCTCCTCAAAGCAAACTGCATGTAATTGTCAAAAAGTAAAGCTGGCCTAGAAAGAAGTGTTGGGGCTTTGAATTTTACTTTTTGAATGATGAATTTTGCTTTTTGAAGAAAGGAAACTTTTTATTGCTTGACATGGGTGATCTAGTATACTGAAATTAGTGAGCCTAAAATAGATTGACATGAAGTAAAATAGAGGGTGGAAAATGTACACTGAAGTACCTGAATATATTTGTGAAGAACTGTATTTGTTCAGATGCAGAATGTTCTTCTTTCACACACTTTCTGTGCCTCTTACAATTTTTAAATACTTTTGTGTTTCTTTGCCATATATGTTGTATACAGTTATATATAACAGATATATAAATTATTAAAAAAACCCCAATGAAACAAAGCTCCAAACTTGTGAATTGAAAGTTGGCTGTATACATCTCTTGCATATAAACTTATTCAATATTCATTGATATTGAGCTATTCAAGTGCTTCTTGACTACCAGATCTGAAACCTGTGGGAAGATCAGCTAAAGCAGCTGCACTGAACCTGACTGATCACAGTTGTGTTGTGTGCGGGCACTTGGATCCACCTGCCCAGCATGAATACCTGCATTGCTCCAGTTCTGAAAAGTAAAATTCTGTTTAGCAGCATGTAGGTTGAACTAAAGAGCTGCTGGCCTCGTGTTTTCCTCGTTGAGTTGGAGCAGTGGATGAAGGCAGTGCTGCTTTCAGTTCTCACTCGCTGATTCAGAGAGATGTTACCACTGTGTAGCAGCAGGGAAGGTGCAGAATCCAATTACAGCTTTTCATGTTGGGGTTTACTGATTAGTTTTACTATTTCAGATGTTATACCTGCAGTTCATGTTTGCTTATCTTTATTTGTTACTTGTTAATTTTTAAATGCTGTAAGAAATGGAGCTGGCATTGTTGGTTTTTTCAGAAAATTTCATATCTCTCTTCAACCAAGTGAAATGGAAAGAAGGGATTAATTTGAACTTCATGGTATTGTAATGATTTTTCACTGTTGCAAATTGGTTTTGCTCCCTGTAGTCTCTGTCCTTTATTGCATTAGTGCTGCAGAACAATAGTGGTGGGAGATATTGCTTTATGAACTCCAGCACCTCAGTACTGCCGTTGTCATTCATCACCTAATATAGGCTAATTGATGCTACTACAGACCATTCCAGAATGAAAAAGGAACATTTCTGCTTTAGCTAGGTGATGGTCACTTCATCTGTAGCGAGCACAAAAAGCCAGATAAATATTTGATGTGAACCTTTATAAAAATATATTAAAAAGCAAAAGTCTTGTTTTATGTGAAGAACTCATGGATTAGAACTAAAGAACAAAATAACTGCAAGAATTTTATGCTACAAGATGCTCCAGAGGTTTATTTTTCATTATATACTGTGTTTCAAGAGTTACGAGTGAATCGTTTTTAGCTCATTTAAGCTGCACATTTCTTTTGCCAACTAGATACAAATAATTTGTACACAATGTGGTTTTAAAGACGTACACAATGTGACTTCCTCTGGAGCACTGTAGGGTAAAAAAATGGCTTCCCCTTCCCCCTCACTTTGATGAAATAGAGACTTTTTTCTTGAATATTTAATGGCTATTTAAAGTCTGCGATTAACGAATTACTTCTGTATGAAAGGTCGCAGTGAGATTTGAACGCTGCCGCCAGGTCAGTGGCGGCCCGCGGGACGGCTCCGAGCTGGCCCGTGCGCTGCGGTGGCCGCGGGGCGGCTCAGGTGGCACCGGTGTCGCACAGCAGGGCAGCTCCCGCTCCCACCCCGCGGCCACCCTGCCCTGACAAGGCTCGGAGAGAGGAGCCCTCCTGCTACACATCACTTGGAGGCTGGAAAGGGCTTAGAAGTTTTTCCAGAAAGGGAGCTTGGCTGTTAAATATCCCTGCAGAAAACGTGGGAGGAGTATTGAAATGTTTTGATGAGGGATGTGAAGACTGCTTGCACATTTAGCTCCTTCATCTCTTGTACTGTTTTCTTGCATTTATTTGCAAGTGTGCTACCAGGCAAGGCACACACCGGGTGAATTTGTGCTTTATCTGTTTTCTGAGTGGAAAAACTTTTGCTGTAGTGTCAGATCCGTGCTGTTAATAAGCCTTCTAGCAAAATCTCCCCCGTGTCATCAGTTGTGGAGGGATTGGTGTGAGGCAGGGGCAGCCCCCAGCTGCCCGGGGAGATGGGCCGTGGGTATCTGTGCGTGGTGGGAAAGGCTGCACCAGTGCGAGAGCAATGGACAGGAGAGAGCGGCCGAATGCTTCTGTAACTCGTGAGCGGCCCGGGAGTGCTCCGAGCTCGGGCGGGGGCGGAGGAAACCGCTGAGAAAATTCCCTAAGAGTCACTGAGCTTTGCCGAAGCCCCACGAGTGCGCTGTCCCGCGGGACCGCCGCTCCGCGCCCTTCTCAGGCGCCTTTTGGGATGTGTTCGGCTTTAAAGCACCGCTGCTGTCCGGACCTGCACCACGGCTTGCGCTGCCCTCCCCACAGCGCGGTGTCTCAGGACACAGGGGAAAAGGGAGCGCTGCCCGTTTCCATTCCCGCCCGGGGCAGGGAGTCCGGGGCCCATCGCCGGCAGCTGCCGGCTCGGTGCTGCTCCAGCCGGGGCGGGAGCGGGGCCGCGCTGGGCTCGGGGCTGCGCTGGGCTCGGGGCCGCCGGGCTGGCTGCCCGTGGGTCGGGGAAACACCGAAGGGGACCCCCGGTGACCGGACACCGGCTATGAAAACACTGTGAAGAACTGCGGGCGGATGGATTTGTGCTGAGCTCTGCCAGGAAGATCCAGTGTAAGGGTTTTTTAAAACGTTTTGGAGAACCTTTGAGAACTCCGAGTTTCCGCACAAACCAAGATAAGGGCGGCGGGGCTGGTCCCGGAATCCTCTCAGGCCTTTCAGGGATCTTTCATTCCTCTTCTGTTTTTCCCGTTACCGGCACGGCTCCGCTGAGCGAGGGGTACCCGGTGAGGAGCCTCCCGCCGGGCTGGGCTGACGGGAGCGCCCCGGCGGAGCACAGAGGGGCTCCCAGAAGCGCCCGCCGCCCTCCGGCGGTGCGGGGCCCGGCCGGGCTCGGTGCCCATCGGTCCGGGCTCCCCCCGGGAGCGGGCGGTCGGAGCGGGCGGGGCGCTGCAGCCCGAGGCCGCGCGGCGGGGCCGCCAATGGCGAGCGCCGCCAGTCGGGGCCGCCCCTCGGTGGCGGCGGCGGCACCGGAGCGCTCCCGGCGCGGCGGGGGCGGGGCGGGGCGCGATGCGATGCGATGCGATGGGCTCTGTCGGGGCGGCGCGGCGCGGCCCCCGCCCGCCCCTCGCCACCGCCCCGCGCTGTGGGGCGGAGCGGAGCGCGGTTCCGCCTCGCTCCGGCGGCCGCCGAGAGCTGCGCTGCGGCGGCGCCCGCGGCCGCTCGGCGATGGCGGCGCGGGAGAAGCGCGGGGCGGGCGGGCGGCCGTGCCGCTGCTAAGTAGGGCAGGGGCGGGGGCGGCGGCGGCGGCGGGGCCGTCGCGGCGGCTGCGCTATGCGGGCCGGGCGCGGGGGGCCGGCCGGGAGACGGCGCCGGGGGCGGCGCGCCCTGCTGCCCGCCGCGGGCCCCGGGGCGCCGGGGCGCTGAGCAACAGTTGGCCCCGCCGCCGCCCAGCATGAAAGTGTGCCGGCGGAAGGCGCTGGCGCTGTGCCTGGGCTACGCGCTGCTGCTGCTGCTCGCCGCGCTCAACCTGCTGGAGTACAAGTGGCGGCGGGAGCCGCGGCGCTGCGGGGAGCCCCCGGCAGCCCCCCGGCACCTCCCCCCGCCGCCGCCGCCGCCGGTCGGGAGCCGCGGCCCGGGGGGCGCCCGGCGGCAGCTGGTCTATGTCTTCACCACCTGGCGCTCGGGCTCGTCCTTCTTCGGGGAGCTCTTCAACCAGAACCCCGAGGTCTTTTTCCTCTACGAGCCGGTGTGGCACGTCTGGCAGAAGCTGTACCCCGGTGACGCCGTCTCGCTGCAAGGGGCGGCCCGCGACATGCTGAGCTCCCTGTACCGATGCGACCTCTCCGTCTTCCAGCTCTACAGCACGGCGGGCGCCGGCAAGAACCTCACCACGCTCGGCATCTTCGGGGCGGCCACCAACAAGGTCATCTGCTCCTCGCCCCTCTGCCCGGCCTATCGCAAGGAGGTGGTGGGCATGGTGGACGACCGGGTGTGCAAAAAGTGTCCCCCGCAGCGCCTCAGCCGCTTCCAGGAGGAATGCCACAAGTACCACACGCTGGTCATCAAGGGCGTCCGTGTCTTTGACCTGGCCGTCCTGGCCCCGCTCATGCGGGACCCGACCCTGGACCTCAAAGTCATCCATCTGGTGCGGGACCCCCGGGCCGTCGCCAGCTCCCGCATCAAGTCCCGGCACGGCCTCATCCGGGAGAGCCTGCAGGTGGTGCGGAGCCGGGACCCCCACATCCACCGCATGCCCTTCCTCGATGCCGGCCACAAGCTGGGCGGGAAGAAGGAGGGGGGGGGCGGCTCGGACTACCATGCCCTGGGTGCCATGGAGGTCATCTGCAGCAGCATGGCCAAGACCCTGCAGACTGCTCTGCACCCCCCCGACTGGCTCCAGGGCAATTACATGGCCGTGCGCTACGAGGACCTGGTGGTGGAGCCCATCAAGACCCTGCGGCAGGTGTACGGCTTTGTGAACCTGGCGGTCAGCCCGGAGATGGAGAAGTTCGCCCTCAACATGACCAGCGGCCCCGGCTACTCCTCCAAGCCGTTCGTGGTGTCGGCCCGGAACGCCAGCCAGGCGCTGAGTGCCTGGAGGACCGCGCTCAGCTACCAGCAGATCAAGCAGGTGGAGGAGTACTGCCAGCAGCCCATGGCCCTGCTGGGCTACGAGCGGGTGGGCAGCCCCGAGGAGGTGAAGGACCTCAGCCGAACGTTGCTCAGGAAGCCGCGGCTGTGACGGGGCAGCGGTGCCGGGGCTGGCGGAGCCCGGGCAGAGGAGCCGCTCCGGCCGCCCTGAGTGAGGGAGGGAGCCGGGAAAAGCAACCTGGGCTCCGATTTCCTCCAAAGACTGCCGAAGGGTAACATACAGTAATGTGATGATTTCGTGGGTTTTTTGGTTTTTTTTGGTTATTTGTTTTGTTTTTTTTTTTACCCGCCCCTTTGCATTGGGTTAGATGCGATTTAAAAAAACAAAATCACGTGGAACTGAAAATATGTGTAAAGCCCCTTCCTCCTTCTGTAAAACGCCAATATCTTGTTCATGAAGTTCTCGTGCGTTTGAAGATGGTAACAAAAACTCTTGCACAATTCCTAACACATCTTTATCTCCCTTGGTGCGCAGGGGATGCCCTTGGAAAACATAATGCCGAAAATCAGACTTTTGTATGAAAGCAAATGTTCAGACATGACAGTAATAAAATAAAATAATAAATGATATTCATTTTTATAATTACCTCAATTGTTTGGGAAATACAGTGTTGCTTATGTACAGCTGGAGGGGATGCTTGCTTAAAATAACAACGTGGACTTCTTAAAGGGTATGGGCGGAGGGCTGGAGTGCAACATTTGATGTGTTCAAAGATCAGGAGCTGCTCTTGCAGAAACAAATACAGATCTTGCAAGTGTAGTGCAGGTTTCATGGCTGTGTCAAAGCAGGTTTCTATTTAACTATTGTCTTTTCTGTTGTATTTAAAAAGTCTTTCAAGTGCCACTGTATTGGTGTCCTAAGAGTTTAAAAACGTTTGCCATCGCAGCAGTATTTATTTTTGTCTTGACATGTATGTCCAGGAGTCACTGTCAAATAGAAGTGGATCTACAGCGTGACAAGAAATGCAGGATTTAAAAAGGCATTTATCATACTGGAAACATTAGCATGTGTGACAACAAAAATAAAATTATATATATTCTATATATTCTATAGTGCTAACAAAACATAAGATGTAAGATATTTCTTGACACTGATTGGTAACAGGCAGAGCAGGGAAGCATAGAAAATGCATAAGATGATTTATTTTTTCCCTTTGTCTGTGTCTGAGGGTATATTTATGTACGAGGAGGGAGGAAATGTACAGCTGTGTGTTCATGGCTGTAACAGAGCTTTGATGGAGCCAGCCCAGCGTTTGATTTCAGAGCGCTGGTTGGAGACTCGTTGCCTGTGAATTGTCATTGCTCTGTGATGGAGCCAGATGGTGGTCTGGCTCTTTCTGGGAGCTCTGCCTAGAGTCTGTCCCATCGTTAAAACTTGATGATTAAAAAAAAAAAAGAAAAAAAAGAGATTTTACTACTTCCGCTTTTGTAATTTCTTGGAAAAAGTCCTGATTTATTAAAGGTTAAGTGGTGTGTTGCATATGAAAAGTGCAGGCACCCTAAGTAGTTTTTAATCTTGGTGTTCTCTGCTGCTCTTTGAAGGCTCATTTTGGAACTTGAGTTTTTAAACAAACGTAGTTTTGCCAAACTGTTCTCTTAGGAGACTACAGACTTTTCTACAGGAAGTACATTTTACATTGCCTATTTGAGTGTTGTGCCTTCAGAAAATGTGAAGAGTATGAGTAGGAAAAAGGAGATTGATTTGTGAAAATAAATTAATATAAACAGGATGCTGATACGTGCGTGTGTATGTGTGGGTGTATGTGTGAAAATTTTAGTGATGTGTAATATGTCTATTTCTTGTAACTCAAGTTAAACAGCTGATAACTGGCTACTAAGATTTTTGAGTTCTTGATGAAATTTTGGCATTAGATGTTGAATTTATTCTGAAAAGGAAAAACATTTAATAAACTAGTTAAAAGATTATTGCATAAGGTTGCCTATACACTTGCTGAATGACTGCATTACATGTTGGTTCCCTCAGCTCATTTTCACCATCAGTGAAATAACATAAAATCTAGCAATGGGAGACCTTTTAATTGGCCTGTTAGGACAGGGTGCTAGAAACGGGAGGGATAGTTAATTTGATGTTTCAAAAACAGATTAAGGCACTCGTGTTGTTGTGGAATGATGTGTTTTGTGTTACCATGTGCATGTTCAGTGCAGTGCTGCTGCGAGGATTTTGGGTGGTTGGCTTTGGGCTGTACCCAGCGGGGTTTTTTATTTTCTCTGGTTGTTGTGTCCGGGGGCAGTGCTCGGAAATCTGACCTGTAGAGCACGGTGCTTGCTTTATCTCCATGGCAGCGTTCCGAGGCTGCCCTGTCCTGCCCTGCCCTGCCGGTGCTGCCCCCGAGCCGCGGGCAGGGCTGGGCCCGGAGCCCCCGGAGCTGCCCTGGAGCGCCGGCCCCGCCTCGGCTGCCCGCAGGGGAGCTGTGCCCGGGGCTCCGCACGGCCCTTTCCGTGTTACACAAAACCCCCCTTGGATTCTGGGAGCTGGTGCATGGTCATTTCTGCGTGCAGAACTCCTTGGTCCTTTTTGGGAAAGTTTTCAGGATGAGTAAAGTGAACAGGAATTGATTTCCTCTGGGAGTGTGAAACAGATGAGCCCAATTGACTTAGCTTCCAAAAATGTCCTTTGGCTCCTAATTATGTTTAAAAGCTCATCCTGTCCTTCTGAGAGAGCGCTTGCTGCTCTTCTAATAGTGGTGCATTGCAAGCATCTGCTTCACTTTCCCGGTACCAGCACTGCCAGCACAGTCACAGCATCTGAATCTGGTCCATAGTTTGGGCTCCACCTACTACATTGCAGCAAGGAATCACCCAACATGCTGAACAACTGCACCCTGGTGAGCCTTGGTGAACAGAAGAAATAGTGCAGTGTTCATTCTGTGAAAATAAAGCACTGCATGTTTGTTCAGGAGAACTGAATGGGACCCTGCTTGTGTAAAGTGCTGGTGGGCTGAGCCCTATGTTTGGTGCTGCTCTACTAAATACGTATGTGAACAACTGGCAATTAAAAGACGATTTTTAGCCCTTTTTTGTATTCAGGAAATAGAAGTAGAAGAACTTTAACAAGCCAAACAGAGTTGAAAAAAAGTTTTAAATGTGGAAAATTACACGGAAAAATAGGGTATCAGAAAGATGAAGGACATGGTTACAAAAGAAGTTTTCCTTTTATGAGGTGGGATAGCTAGCTGTAGTCAGAATAAACTTGACTTTTAAGCTTGAATATAGTCCTGGGTTTGCTTTCTGTCTGATTTAATAATTACAGCATGCTTCTTCAATGCTTGTATTAGTGAAGGATCAATAGCATAAGCAAGGTGCAGAGTGCACTCAGTTGCATGGGAGGGAGATGCTTCTGAAGACTTGGCACGTTGGTTTGATGGAAGAGAAAGGCCAATGGGCAGCTACGTGTTGCTTTCTGCTGTGAACAAAGCCAAAACAACAAACTGGTGTGGTAAATTGCAATGATCATTCAGTGCATGAAAACAGGAAAACCCTCTGTCTTCCACTGAATCAACTAAACCACAAGATGTGTAAAGCTGTGCAAGTTGCTGCTGCTAAGCTCGGAGCTGACAATGAAAAAATGTTAGATCAAGTATCTTTCATTCTTTCTTAACAAAAGGAGGAAGTCCCTTATTTTTCCAATCACTTTGTAATTTGTCAGACATTAAACATCACGCTGTGACTGGGAAGAGGAACATAATTTAAACCCACAAACCTTGTATTTCCATTATGATTAGAACTTGGGTCCTCAGAGGTGAAATACTGATGGTTATAAGCAATCCTGAAACAAGGGTTTCTCATCCTGTAGGCTGTGAGAAGAATAGTGAGATTATTTCCCCCTTCATTTCTATTTGCTAGTGGTGTGTTGAAAATGAAAAGTGTTTAATGTGAGCCCTTCCACACCTCACAGGTGGTCTAAGAGTTGGTGTTCCAGCTTTGCTCCTGTGCATCCCATAAATGCAGGCATGGTCCCTTTGGAGAGGTGGATGCCAGCTGTGCCCAGCTGTGTGGGGCTGCTTTACATGAACAGACTGAACATGGGGCAAATGCTGCCTCTGTTACTTCATTGAATGGATCACAAATGTTCTTATATTCTACTGCCATTTCAACTAAGGGTGTTGTATAAATATTACTCTGCTGGAATTATGCATATGAATAAGGTAAGCAGATTTAATTTGGAGGCTCTAAGAGAATGTGAGACTGCTTGCCATTGATGTATCTGACTTCAACTGTGCTTCCTGCTAAGTTATCCTGGCAGTCAGTACATAGGGTTTGCATTTTGTATCAGAGATCCTCAGCAAGATCTTAGAAAAATATGCATGTTTTATAAGTAAAGAATACATAGGATAACATTTCAGCAGTACTCATTATATTGTGCACATTTAAAGTAAAAAATAAGGTTTATCTGGTTTATTTGGGTTTGCTGGCAACTAATGAGTTTTGTTAACATGTCTAAATAACAGCTCTTCTCTGGGATTTGAATGAAATAGGACTTTCATGCTGAAAAACAAGATGAAAATGTGGTTGCAGGAATTCCCCAAATTAAATGTTATTAGCGAAGCAGCCTTGAGCGAGAAAGGATCTGCTGAGTACCTTTGTCCCAGCAGCAGCTGAAGTGGAAGTTGCTAACTGGAAGGGGCTCTACAGATACAAGATTAAGAAATCTGAAGATTCTAGTAAGCTTTAAGTGTGATCTTGAAGAATATCTGCATGTGCCATTTTCATTGGAGTTGGAGTATTATGCAGGAGTCAGTGGGAGTTATATTTCAGGGTGCCTATGGAAGTCATGGCCTCATAAATTTGTACTGAGGGGGCCTATGGGGGTTTCTGGTCCAAACTATTGCTCAAAGCAGGGTCAGCTTATGACATCAAACTAGGCTGCTCCAGGTTTTATCTTGGTGGGTCTTGTAAACCTGCAAGGACAGAGACTGCACAATCTCCCTGGGCAGCCCCAGTGCTGTGTGGTCCTTGTGGTGATCCATGATGCCTCAGCAAAGCCAGCCCCAGAATCACTAAATATGTTACATAAATTTATTAATACTGTGTTTTGCCTGTGACTACTGACGTGGGTCATGTCCTCACTTCCCTTTAACTGCAAGAGATGTTGGCTGCAGCTCAGCTGTTACAAAGGGTCAGCAGCAGAGTGGCTAATGAGCAGTGATCTCAGTGGAAAAATGGGGATTCACAATTAGAACGCTGCATCCAGCAATATCCCTTGTTCTACCCAGGAGGGATAAAGAGGAGAGCAAAGGCAAAAGAAATTCACTTAGGAGAAAGGAAAGGAATACAAAGAGGGGCTTATCAGACGTTGCTCTTTCTCTGCTATAGGAAGAAAGAAATACTGGTAAGGAAAACTGAAAGAAACAAATGATACCATGCAGCAAGGTCAGGAGAGGATGAATAAAGGCATTTGCATGTTAAAGGCAGTGAGGATAGAAACCTGAAGGACAGAAGAAGAAATGTGATGCTATGTGCTGTAACCATTTGTGATTAATCATGATATGCAGAAAGAATTCCTCACTTCTAAGTTCACAGTTTTAGATTCCCTGATTTTCCTCACAGTTTCAAGATGAATTTCAAACAGGAATAATTTTCATAATTATTCGGATAGTTTTGATGTTCCAATTTGTTTTGTGTATAGATAGAAACAGAGTTGCTGAACTTTTGTCTAAATATTCCTCTCTGCAGACCTCTATGCATAAATTCACAAGCCCCCTAGTCTGCTAAATTCTTGGCACCTTCTTGTTTTCCATCTGCCAGATGGCTCCTTCTCCCACCAGTCAGGGTTATCAACAATTATCTGTTTCAAGCCATGTGCATGTCTCATAACAGTTTATCATGGGAGACATAAAATGGAAAAGTGACATATTTAGTGTTTATGTAACTTTGAGAATCACTTTTGGCAGCTTTCATCGCTTGCTTATTTGCCACTGGTGGTTCCTTTGTATGCTTGCTGTACTGGTCTGGGATCAGCCCTTCAGATCTCAATTATTCAGTCAGTTTACTAAAATCAGACACTTTGCACACTCAGTCAGCTGGTGTTTTTAAATGTACTAACTTAGTTGATGGAGTGGTGACTTGTTTTGTTCTTCAGAACACCCTTATATCTGCTTGACCTCTCTTTTCCAAAGTAATGAGTGATAGGAAATGAGGAAACAGACTCAAGTGGCACCAGTGAAGGTTTAGATTGGATATTTGGAAACATTTCATCACCTTGAAAGGCTTGCCAAGCAATGGCATAGGCTGCTCAGGGAAGTGGCCCAGTCCCCAGCTCTGGAAGTATTGACAAGATGTCTGGCTGTGGTGCTCAGGGACATGGCTTAGAGCTGGGTTAATGGTTGGACTTGGTATCATAAAGGTCTTTAGAACCTAAATGGTTCTCTGATGTGATGGTGACATCAGACTCTGCCAGTGCCATACAGGGGGGTTGGAGGCACTGGGGGTTCTGCAGCTCCTGAGGCAGTGAGAAAGGTCTGGCTGCCAGAGCAGAGTTTGGGGCTTGTGCTCTTCACCTGCTTCACTGGCTGCAGCTCCACCACAAACTGCCAGAGCTGTCGATGGTAAAGGACACCTGGTTCCAAGAGGTACAGTGGAAATGAGTAAGTAGTGGAAAAGAGTTCTTTGTGCTTCTCTGCTCCTCTCCAGGAAGGAGCACACAGCAGCCCGTGCTGACCATAACACTTTGGTTTTGTAAGAGTTTAATAGTTGGTCCCCAATTACATGTTCTTTCATGCTGAGCAGAGGTAAAAATACACAGTATTAAAGTGCTGTGGCTACTGCCCAGAGAATACCTGCTGTGTTATTTTAACCCAGGCACCCTCATCCCAAGACACAACTTGCACACACGAGCCCCCCTCCTTTTATTTTATTTCAAATAGGGAATGTTGTATCTGATGCCACACCTGAGAGGCAGCTCTGCCCTTCTGCCGGTGGTGCCCCACAGGTGTTAATGAGGAATGTTAATGAGCCCGGTATAGCAAGGGCACACCTGAAAGTGGTTAGGGGGTTGTGCTGCTCAGCCTCTTCCCCTCACGGACAGGTGACTCTTGGCGAAACCTGATGGAAGCCGAGGTCTGCTCTGTGCCTTGTTATTCCATGTGCCCTCAGCCTCACCGGGGCAGC